GACTGGATCTGGTTCAGTATTAGAAACAATTCAGACTGGTTTCTTGCTTCAAAAATAAAAAACTAGTTTATTACAAAACATTCAAACAAACATCCATAGATTATGGACAAGAACAAGGTTGAGACTATGCAAAGAGAGACAGAACATGTAGTCTAACATCTTAGAATTACTATGAGACAAATATAGTTAACAGACAAAGTATGGATGGACACCTGATAGAACAAATAAAATTGTAAATTTGATCAAAATAGATCCCAAGGATTTCTCAGCAACTCCCGCAGATATTTGTGACACTGTGGGTCACCGAATCATATTAAATCTTCACAAAGGATTCCAATTGTTCACTTTTGAAGACCTGGGTTTAAACTCTCTCAAAACCAAACTTGATGACGGATTGCCTCAATGACTGTTCATCTTCCAGTGGTTCACGTTCCTTTCCTGGGAAGTTACTCCCCGAGTTCCTGGGAAGTTACTCCCCGAGATCCTGGAAACAGCACTCAAAGGTACAGCTCCAGCTTTTCACAATCGCCAAGTTTCATCAAGCCAGTCCAGTCCCTTCATTATCTCCTGAGCTATATTCTTGTGTAGTTGGGCCAAGCAATGACATCTTATGGGCTTTTCAACCTCATCATTTGCTGTACTGAACTATTAATTATGTACAGGTATCTTCCAATCCATTATAACTTCCGGGACTCTCCTTTCCTTTAATTCCAACACTTAGCTACCTACTAACTCCTAGAATTGCCTGAGTTTTGACTGCAGAGAGCATTCCAATTGTTCTCGGTTCCTCACTGAGCCCAACTACACAGAACCAATGTAGCTTAGTTGCCTTTCAGCAGTCTTTTTCTGCCTCTGTCTGCTAACTTCATGGACTGTGACCTGGGAACTATTATTCAGTGACCCCAATTTGTTTTTGAGTGTTCTATTGAAAACATTACAACGTGCAGCAGTTTATTGCTGGGCAGAACCAAACATGACAACTGTTATATTTCAAGCAACAGTGGAACTCAAATGTAGTAACCCTTGGAATTGTTCCCTTACTGTTACAATATTCACAAATTGCTGGCTCCCACAGCACAAATTTTATTCAGTATAAGGTAGGATTTTATCATGACAATTTATACATGAGACCACATCTGCCAAATGCAATTAACATTCTTAAATATATATTCTGTGCTTGGGTATGGTAACACCAAGGGTGCGTATACAGAGAAGATTGCCAATTTAAGGCTTGCTACAAGCTGCACTTTGACAAATTAACCTTCAATTAAGTTAAATCCAGTTAGACGTTAATATGCATTTGAAAATTAATTAATTGCATTGCAAAGTTGTACATTTTATGCATTGCCAGGACATTTGTGTATAAATCTATCTTTATGACAGTTTTATATTAACTGTCATAAATTTCTATATTATAGTGCATGATGTTATTAAAATGTTTCTAATCTCTATAATTGCAGAATACTGATCTTTAAGATGAAGTACATTGTACTGTACAACTTCAAGAGGATTATTGATTGATGCATCTTAACTGCATGACCACAGTTAGCATGACTGATATCATGTCAACATTCAAATCTAAAGAGAACTGAGGACTTGCTTTCCCTTATAGATTCTATTTGTCCATTCTTTCCATTATTTTGAAGCTGTATTTCCAATGGATCACTAAATTCTTGTCTTTCCCTTTCCTATTTTATATGAGTTTTTTGCAATTTTTTTGTTAGACAACAATTAGAACATAATCAGTCTGCAGTCTATCCAAAATTATTATTCTTCAGACCTTCAATCTCCCTCTTTTTTTTTGTGTGGTCCCAGCCCATTACACGCTGTGCCTTGAATTTTTGACTCTCAATTTTTGACTATCTGGAGATAGGGTAGGGTGTGTGGGCCACAATCAGGATGCCTTGTAAGTTGTTGGGAAAAGGATGGGCTTGTGATCTTTCATGTTAACCAGTTAAGGCTGATAAAGGTATTGAGAAGCTTATCAGGGGCACATTAATGGGGTGGGATGTTGAGATGTTGGCAGCAGCGCAGAATCTGTGCAAAAACCGAAAAAAAAAGCGGATGCTGTAAATCAGAAACAAAAACAGAAATTGCTGGAAAAGCTCAACTGGTCAGGCAGCATCTGTGGAGAGAAATCAGAGTTAATGTTTTGAGTCCAGTGACGCTTTCTTAGAGAAGTTCTGAGGAAGGGTCACTCGACCTGAAATGTTAACTCTGATTTCAGAACCTGTACAAATTATTTGAAAGAGACTGGGTAAAGGGGAGTTCGGTTCCAGTTCTATCCATCACCAGCTGGCTTCTGGACTCAAATATGACAAAGCAGTCATAGTGCCAGACAGTTAGAAGGAGGCGTTTCAGTCCATTATGCCTATACAAGCTCTCTGAATAAGCTTTCCAATTAAATACCCTCTGAAAAAGGCTAGCAAGCCAAAACAGCAATTAGGGAATAGGTAACAAATGCTGACCTTGCCAGTGATGCCCATATCCCACAGAAGGATAAAGAAAAATAATAGCTCAACTCTCTTGTTTTTTTTTTGAAAACCGAAAGAACTGCGGAAGCTGTAAATCAGAAACAAAAACAGAAATTGCTGGAAAAGCTCAGCAGGTCTGGCAGCATCTGCGGAGGGAAATCAAAGTTAATGCTTCAGGTCAAGTGGCCCTTCCTCAGAAATCTATCTGATTTTTGTCTCTTTTTTTTCCCCTTAGCTTTGCAATTCTCTCTCTTTCGAGTACATATCCATTGTTCCAAAGAAATACAGTGATAAAGCAAAATAAAATGCATTAGAATATAGATAACATAACAGATGGGCACAGTGGCAAATCACAGCTACAAATCTATATTCAATAGCTAATCTAAAGGGGCAGATTTAAGCTTCCTCCAGTCATAAACCTTCAAAGGGTAATAAACATGAGTAATAATGCCACCCTATTAATTGAAACCTCTAACACAACTGCTAGGCTCAAGATAAACCGACACTATCACACCTTCAAACTTGATAAGTTAATCTTTAGCACATTCTCTACTGTGCTAAGGACTGAACAGAACACCATGGGCTTAGCTTTCCCATTTGAATGAGAAGGGAGGCAATTGTATATTCATAATGTCATGTTCTGGGGACCATGGGTTCAAATTACACAATGGCAAATGATGAAATTTGAATTCAACAAAAACTCAGTCGAATGATGAAATCTGATGGCTAACTCTTAACTGGCCTCTCAGCAATTAGGAATGGGCAATAAAGGGCTGCAACACCCATCAATGAGAAAAAGAGCAGCTTGGGATCTGCTATCAATTATATTAGTAGCAAAAGCCTATAGTATGAGCTCCCAAACAAATCCTATTAGTTATGCATTTTATTGAATCTACTCACCAATACGTAGTTCTATTTAGGCCTGGTGTGGTAAACATTTAAGGACATAGTTACATACCACTGGAAGTTTGGCCAAAGAACAAAATCCTTTAAAAATTTCATAAAGAAACAAAGAACTGCAGATTCTGAAGATCTGAAACCTCATACAGAAATTGCTGGAGAAACTCAGCAGGTCTGGCAGCATCTATGGAGAGAAAATAGAAATGATTTGCATCCAGTGACTCTTCTTAAAGCTAGATCTTGTTGGTTCTGAGGAGGAGTTGCTGAATGAGAAACATTAACTCTACTTTCTCTCCATAGATGCTGCTTGACCTGTTGTGTTTTCCACAAATTTCTGTTCCTATAAAATTCTGTTCGTTGCAAAGATTGTGGACAGAGAATTTAATGTCATATGGAAATTATACACTTAGTGTAATTGATCACAATTGTTCTGAGGGACATAATTGCAAAAATATAATAGAATATTCACATTGGTGAAGTGATGATCTAGAATCTACTGATGCAAAATGAAATGCATGGAATACTATAAATGTACAAGATGACTTTTTTTGTGGTTCTTTGTTTTTATTTAGTCAGGGAGGATGTAGGCATCACTGGCTAGACGAGCATTGATTACCCATTCCTATTTACTCTCAAGAAATTAGTGGTGAGCTATCTCCTTGAAGCACTGCGATCAGCACAATGTTGTTAAGGAACGGAGTTCCGGATTTTCATTCAGCATCAGTGAATGAACAGTAATGCGATTGCAAGACAGAATCCTGTGTAACCTGGAGAGATACTTGCAGATGATAGTTCCCATGTATTTGCTGCCTTTGTCCTTCTGGTTTAGAAGCTGTGGATTTGGAAGGTGTTATTGAAGGAAGCTGGGTGAGTTACAGCAGTGCATCTTGTAGATGGCACACACTGCTGCTACTGTGTGTCATTGGTGAAGCGAGCAAATGTTTAAGGTGGAAGATGGATTGTCAACCAACTTTGTCCTGGGTGGAACTGAGATGCTTGAGACTTTCCAGAGTTGCATTCATCCAAGAAAGTGACAGATTACTCTGTAACACCTCTGAGCCAAAAACCAAGGTTCAATCCCACTCCAGGACTTGATGGCCAAGGAAGCTTCATTTACGGCTGGCCTAAAAATGTTAAATACTCATTGTAAACACTTCCAACACCAGCCAATGGCTGGTGATAAAAAGTGGGAGAGATTCCTGGTCATCTATACAATAAAAAGAAATTGGAACCTATAATATCATTATACCATAGCTCAACGCTTGTAAATGTTACCATTTACCAAAACAACATGGACACTGGGGAATCGGTTGGCTGGGCAGCTGGTACAGATCAGATTGGAAAGAATATGGGTCGTACCCATGGTGGAGATCACAATGCTGTCGGTCAGACCTGCTTTCAGATACATAATTCACAATTGGCATGCTACTTTTTCACCAGGAAACCAATGAAAGGAATTAATGGTTTACGATAGAGAGGGAGAAAAATTTATGACAATTCTGCTCACTGCTTCTAAAAGTACCAGGTTTAAAACTGTAAAAAGCATTCAATCACCATCAAAACTTTAATTTGCACTGGCTCATAAATGTTTTAAATGAAAGCTTTTAACTCACAGAGATTACTCACCTCACGGGAGTCAACAGCTGCATACATTATTTCCATCCAGCCTTTAAAGGTTGCCTGTTGGGAACAAAATTAAGATGGCAGTGTCCTCTATTCTCAGTCAGATGCTGTTTTCATTCAGATAGTTAATCAATATTAATGTTAGGTCTAAACAGTCAGTTTGAAATGTAGTAGATCTCATGATTCAATATATTAGAAGGTCTTGAATATTCAATATCTTCAGGTTCTGGGGCACACCTGATGTTTTATATAGTGTTAAGCATGGCATTTTATTTTAAATTATTTGCAACATCTATCAAGAAGAAATATTATAATAGAAAACTAATTAGATTAATATAAATCTGTAACAGGAGGGATGATCACAGATAAAGAAAAGATTGATTTGCTGCATCATTGAATGTCAGAATTTGCAGCTTGTTTACTGGTGCTGCCCTTGGTCCCCAGCTGGAGGTGGGTGTTCTAACTCATTCCCTTGACGTTTTGCAATCTTCCTTTACAAATATTTATCCAATTCCCTTTCATGTATACTGGTGTTGAGTCTAAGTCTCCTCATTAGCAGACATTAGTGGATGACTTTGCAATCTTTTACTTTTTTATTCTTGTCTTGTTATGGTTCGTTCATTTACTTGTAACGTATTTTTAAGCCAATAACTTTGCTCTTGTCATCTTAGGTGGAATGGTGGCTCAGTAGTTAGCTGCCTCATAGCATCAGGAACCTAGGTTTGATTCCACCCCGGATGACAGTCTGTGTGAAGTTTGCACGTTCTCCCTGTGTCTGTGTGGGTTTCCTCTGGGTGCTCCGGTTTCCTCCCACAGTCCAAAGATGTGCAGGTTAGATGGATTAGCCATGGGAAATGTACAGTTACAGGGATAGCGTGGGTCTGGGTGAGATGATCTTTGGGGGGTTGGTGTGGACTCACTGGGCTGAATGACCTGCTTCCACACAATGGGGATTCTAAAGTGGGAAGAACAGTGAAAGAGCAAGCATTTTCAGCAAATTTTGTTTTCTTTTGCACCTTTTGATTTTGTGCGCAGGAGGTTTATAACGTATTTTCTTGAGCAATGCTCTTTATTGGGTTATGAGATGAGAACAGTGCCCACCTAAACAAGTCACCTGTATTTCTCTTTAGATGTAAACTATCATGTTGTGTGCTTTCAGCAATATTTGGGCAGAATCGTGTCCATTTTTAAAAAAAAACATTCGGCAGGATTATTTCCTGGTCCTGACCCCACACTTGCGAAGTTTGGATGGCAGTCAGTTCCTTATAGGCCTTGGAAGGAGACTAGGCCCATTAGCTGAAGTGGTGGTAGAGGGTGGTAGGAGGTGGGAGAGTTCATAACAGTGTCTCTATCTCAAGACACCTTTTGAGGAGGTTTGAATTTTGATAAAAGCAATGGTGGCCAAAGTAGACGGGCCACCATAGTATAGCTTCGGGCCTCAGCTGTGCCCCAGTATGCCCACAGCCAGGGGTAGGCATAGAAATCACAGACCCCAGTAGTGCTCCTGGCGTTGGTCCCCAGCTCCTGACCTGAGTACCATGGTCCCTGGAGGCTCAGGCCTAATAATTGGGTCTTGGTGTACACCCCTGACTTACGCCCTGCCTGCAGCCTCATCAGAGTTGAGGGTGGAGGAGAAATAGGAGAGGAGGCTAAGACATGCTTTGCAGGCATCTTCTGGTCTTTGGTCTTAGCTGGACCCCAGCAATGTCACCAATCTGTCCAAAAATTGATGACTTAACAATTCAAATTGTCTGCCTGCCTCTGCCAGAAAGGCATAACCTCACTGTCCATAACTCAATAGGTTAAAAGGAGATGGTGATGAGGAAAATAAGACCAGCAATTAGGAATATTAAAAATAGAATTATGGTCAAAATGAAAAGGAGCACAAAAATCTTTTACCAGCTTATAGATAGTAAATGGGTAGTAAGACGTAGAGTGAGGGACAAGGCCTTACCCGTATTTTGTACCATCATTTACAAAAAACAAAGAATTTGACAGCATATCAGTGGAAGCAATGAATAAGGTGAAAACTGAGGGGGAGGAGATACTGAAAATGCTGATTATGCTCAGGGTAAATATGTCAGGATGCCTTGCATTCCATGTCGCTGAAGAAAGCAGGAATAAAGGTAATGGAAGATGCTGCCATTATCATCCCTAGAGACAGTGGAAGTGCCAGAGAACGGGGGGTGGGGGGAGGGGGGGGGGGGAGGGGTAGGTGGTAAGAAAGGTGACACCCTTATTCAAGATAGGATGCAAGGACATTCCTAGCAGCAATAAGTCATTTAGTTTAATATCAATAGCGGTTAAAGCATTAGAAACAATAGTCAGGGAAAAATTAACAGGATGTTTGAGTTCATGAAAGAGAGCCAGCACAGATTTATACAAGGCCAACCATGCTTAAGTAATTTCAATGTTTTTTTGGTTCACAATAATGGTGCATATATTCACACAAGAAACTACAGTTCAAGGCAATTTCCCAAGTAAAGTAAAATCTGACTGATGTTTAATTAAATATTACACAACATATTCTGGGCATTGTTAGGAGGATATAGAATTGATGGTGTGTGCTGATAGCCTATGAGAACTATGGATCTGAAGAATGAATGTTGGTAACTTATTTGACAATGAAAGATAACCTCAGTAGAAATAAATCCTGTTCTCACTCAATTTTCGTACAAATACATTGGCTAGCAAACTTGTGGCAAAAACTCAGGACTGGGTGGGATGGTTTTGCAGTCGGCACTGGAGGACAACTGAACAACTTCAGCTGCCATCTTGGTTGCTGATTGTCATTGTCAGGACAAACATTACAGTAAGTAGTGTCACAAATGTATGGCATCGCTTACCACTTGGAGTAAAGATAGATATCCTTGACCAACATTGTCAAAGTTGACCTTCAAGTTGACCCATCGCACTTCACCAGGCCTCTCTGAGCTGAAATCCATGCAATCACTGCGGTTGTTTATTTGGTCAATGGGAAATATTTCAGAGTTTGTGGTGTTCATGCATTTGTAAAACTTTCCAGCAAACAAGTTGACTCCCATTATACTGAAAATCAGCCAGAAGATGAGACAAACCAGGAGCACATTCATGATGGATGGGATGGCGCCAACCAGTGCATTCACAACCACCTACAAAGACACAATACAAACTATTATTGCCACAGGATATAAAATACTAACTTTCTCCAAACATACAGCTAAGAAAATATTTGCTTTCTGTGTTGTTATTACATGGCATTTCCAGCACAACAATTTGGCCTTTACCAAGTAGCCTGTGCCCAGGAAGATGCTGGGTATTACCTTCTTCCCAACTTAGTTCATCTCACACCATCAACATACTGTTTTTTCTTCCATCTCATGTATCTATTTAAACCACCTTTAAATGTATGTTAGATAACAAGGTGTAGAGCTGGATGAACACAGCAGGCCAAGCAGCATCAGAGGAGCAGGAGGGCTGACGTTTCGGGCCTAGACCCTTCTTCAGAAATGGGCATCCTAAGAAGAGGCTTTGCAGTGGGGTTAAAATTGTTTCAGAGATAGCAGGAACTGCAGATGCTCGAGCATCTGCAGTTCCTGCTATCTCTGAAACAATTTTAACCCCACTCCGAAGCCTCTTCTAAGGATGCCTTCTCCAGCATCTGCAGTTCCTGCTATCTTTAAATGTATGTTATATGCTTCAGTCTTTGAGTTGATTTGATTTATTATTGTCACATGTATGGAGACGCAGTGAAATGTACTGTTTTGCGTCCTATCCAAGCAAATCATACCTTACATAAGTACAGCTGGATAATAGAATAGAATGCAGAATATAGTGTTACAGGTACAGCGATGGTGCAGAGAAAGATCAACTCTAGTATACAGAGAAAGATCAACTCTAGTATATCAGAGGTCTGCATTATTCCTTGTGTTAGCAAATTCCACATTGTAACCACTCTCTGAATAAAGATGTTTCTCCCAATATCCTTATTGGATTTTCTAGTAACTACGGTGTCATTATAGTCTCTAGTTTTGAACATATGAACATAACAAAGAAGAGCAGGAGAAAATCATACAGTCTATATAGTCTTTATTGCCCTTCAATCATATCATGGCTGATGTTCTGCTTCACCTCCACATTTTAGCCCAACCTCCCTATTCCTAAGCAATCAAACATCTGTCAGCCTGGAATGTAGTCAAGAAGTACTCCCATCCCTCTGGAATAGAGCATTCTAAAGATTCACAATGCTCAGAGTGAAGAAACTTGCTCAGATCAGTTCTGGATGATTGTGCCTTTACCATGTCCTCATGTTCTAGATTCTCCCATCCAAGTGAAAACAACCTCCAAGTACTGACCCTGTCAACTTCCTTCAAAGTCTTGCATACTTCAAGAGTTTCCATGCTTGCACTTCTCTGCTATTGTGCTGTAACCGACTCATCTTTTGTTTCTATATTTGCTGTATTATCATTCCACTTTGTCTTGCATCACCATTTTTTTTCAATTAATTTTCTTGCCCTCCACCTGATTTCAGATCTGTCCCTTTAATTCGTTTCCTTCACCTCTTCATCAATTGTTACCATTTTTTCATGGACTCTACATTTGATTAAAGGATGACTATCCCTGACACCTTCCATTTCTCATAATGAGTCATTGACTTGAAATGATAAATGTTTCCTGCCACATGATGCAGCCTGATTGGTACAGCATTTTCTGTTTTTAATCTTTGATATAAATAGTCCAACAGCAATTTCTATCAGTGCTCTCCCCAGATCCATGGTACTTTAAGAACTGTTTGAAGACCAGCACATGGTATGCAGGGCAATTCTTTGAAAGGGATTTTTCATTTAGTCATTTTTTGAGTTAGACAATAACATAAAGGAGTTGAAGTAGGTTATTCAGTTCATTGAATCTTCATCATTATTGCTGATCCGATAATCCTTAAATCAGTTTTCCTGAATTTTCCGCATATGCCTTGATTTCATTACTGATTAAAAATCTCTTCTAACTCTTGAATATATAGTATATGCATAATCTGTTTTGAATATATTGAACAACCCAACATCTACAGCCTCTAAGGTAAAGAATTCTTCAGATTTACGGCTCTCAGAACAGAACTGGTCCTCAACTCTGTCCTAACTGAGCAACCTTTACTCTGTGATTATGTCCTCTGGTTCTAGACTTGCCCACCAGGGGAAACAACCTCTCAACACCTACCCTGACAAGCCTTTGAGAATCCCATATGTTTCAGTAAGCCACCTCTCATTCTTCTAAACTCCAACGAATACAGGCCCAAATGACTCAACCTCTCCATACACAGTCCCTCCATACGCAGGGTCACCCTAGTAAACCTTCTCTGACTGCCTCCAATGCTACTTTATCTTCCCTTAGATAAAGAGACTTGTTGGTGTGGTTTGAAATTGGTTGTCTCATTGAAGTGTGCCTTGATACTGAAAAGATTGGGAGCCACTGCTTTGGACTACACCCACCGTGTCTTCCTCACCTTGTTATTCGTTACCTCCACCCTGATGGATTCGACATCTTCCAATCCAACAACTTCATTGCTGTTGTACTTATTCCATCTCATATCAGCAAAGCCACCCCAGCACATTTCCCTTCCTGCTCATCTTTTTGAAATGTCACAGACCCCTGAATATTTAGCCACCAGCTTTGATCTCCTTGTAGCCATGACTTTGTAATAGCTAGAAGATCATGCCCATTAACCTCTGTTTGTACAGTTAATCTGTTTAGTTTTGTTTTAAATACTACATGCATTAAGTAAAGAGTCATTAATTTTGCCTTTTCTTTAACCATCTTTCTTCTTTTGACCCTATTTACTGCTATTTTTCTATGTTTGTTCACTCTGTCCCTTCCTGTCTCACTCTGTGAGACAGTTGCCCTGTGGTTCTGCCATATCTTTTTCCTTTGTAAGCTTATGTAAGCAAATCCACCACGGCCTTCCCCCAAATAATTTAAAACCCTCTCCTAGTCGAGGTTATTTGGTTTGCCAGGCCAGCTCCCTTTTAACCCTGTCCTTGTGTCAGTGACCCGTGAAATGAATCCCATTTCTCCCACACCAAGCTTTGAGCCATACATTTAACTCTATGACTTTATTTATCCTCTGCCAGTTTGCCTGTGGCTGAGGCAGCAACATTGAGATCATTACCTTGGAGGTTCCACTTTGAAATTTGGTTCTTTACTGTTCAGCAGAACATCCTTTCTATTCTGATCAATGTCATTGGTACCAACATGGAAGACATCAACTGTATTCCTCCTCTCCCAATCCAAGTTCCTTTCCAGCCCTGAGGAGAAATCCTTAAGCCTAGCACTGGGCAGGCAATACAGCCTTCACAATTTGAGCTCATGAACATGGGGAACAGTACCTATTCCCCCAATTATACTGTCCCCTACTACTAACTACATCTTCCTGATCACAGACCAAATCTGAATTTGAATTACCTAGTTTGAGGGCTGTGACTGCCTTCTGCAATAAAGTATCCAGGTAAATTCCCTCCTCCCTGATCTGGTATAATGTCTGCATCTCAGACTCCAGCTCCTTAACTCAAATCTGAAGTTTCTCAAGCAGCAAACACTTACTGCAGTTGTGTTTTCTCTGGATCATCTTTGTGTATGGCAGGTCCCACATGCTACAACAACACACCACCCAGCCTATTATCACTATCATATTTCATTAAATATCCCTGCTCTTTACATTTTATTACCTTTTTAAAAATAAATCACCCGCATCAATCTTATACTTGACTAGTTACTTTTATGAAAAGTGAGAAAAGCACAACTAAACTGAAGATCTTTTACTTTAAAGGCTAGAAATATTCACCAACCCTACTCAATAATCAGAGATAGTAGGAACTGC